CTACCCATCAGCGAATAGGTTCCAATCGTCAGCCTCCCATGGTCACGCAAGCTGCACACAACATCTATGGTAGCGGCACATTGGTGGTGATTGTGGTTGGGATGCGGAAAACAGAGGACGAAAGGAGAAGGTAGCAACACAAGTCGTAGCAGCAGCCATGAGCTTCGTCGGCGACTATGGGGCATATCAAGTCAAGGTAGCGACAATCTGCAAGTAACAGCAACGTGGAGAAGAAGAGAAGAGTGTAGCGACAACCTCACATCATGGTTTCCGGCGACTCAATAGTTGACGTCGTGCAAAGCTTTGGTGGACACTCCGGTGGCTAGGAGACGGTGGTAAAGGAAATAGCGGCTAGAGGATGAAGATGAAGTGGGGTGGCGGCCGGTTTATGATTTTAGGGTTAGGGTTTGGCAATCCTTTAAATACCCGTTCCAAATTTAAGAGTTTACCATAATGGCAGAACTGGTCCCTCCCCATAAACACTTTTGCAACATAAGCCCCAAATTTACTCCTTATACCCCTGCTCCCTCTATTCTTTTCATTTTCAGTACAAAATTTACCAAACAGCCCCCAATATCTTAATTATGACATATTCAACCCCTCCACCTCATTTCCTTTTACATTAAATCCAAATAATTACCACGGAGCCCCTGACTTCATAAGTATTTCTAAAATGAGTCCCAAACACACACTATTAACTGGAATCGGGGGAGAGCAGGTGGTGTAGCTGGTATACGCTTTAGAAACAGGCTATCGATAACACCTAATTGAATAGAGAAGGAGCAACTACACAAACTGGATGAAGTCTTCACCACGTGAAGCAAAATAGACGAACTGTTACTTCAAATTAATGAATTTGTAACTTAAAAGGAACCATACCTGTAGACGATGCAGATAAACGAAAGGATGTGGAGATGATTTGAGTAAAGTTTAGACTCAACTGCGTCGTTAATAGGGAAGGATGTGGAGATATCAAAGTAGACACGCTGAAACTGCTTAAAAGATAATGTTTTTTCTGTAATTTCATGAAAAGAAAACAAAAATAGTACTATAGAAACTGAAAATCAAAGTACTTCAGTAAATGTACTTACCACCAAAAGCTGAAGATGAAGCACCAAAGGCTAGGGTTGAAGAAGCTCCAAAAGAAGGCATTGAACTACCAAAAGCATGTGAAGAAGAAGCACCAAAGAATGGTGAAGAAGCTTGTGTACCAAAGACACTAGTAGAAGTGCCACCAAAAATAGAACCACCTGTTTATGCACCAAAGGGAGATGTGCTACCAAATGGTTTTGGAGCAAATGGGTTGTTATTTGCATTATTGGTCTACCCAAAAACTGATGCGGACCCAAAGGGACTATTGGATGACTGCCCAAATGCTGTTTAAAGAAAACAGAAGCAATTAGAATCATCATGTTGTTGAATATTACATGATATTCACTTCAAACTATATGAAGTAGCTTGACAAAAAGAAAGAGTGTAACATATGTAAAACTCTTCTGCTAACTTTTTCCAATAATCAATGAGAAGAAGTAAAGTAGCCACAAGTTATTTCTTATCACATATGAAATCTACACAAAAACCAGTCATTGAAAAGAGAAATACAGATGTATGCAAATTGGCAAAGACACTTGCCAGAATCCTCATCAATATTTTTTTAAAGAAAAAGCTAAAAGACAGATGCATTAAAGGAGAAACAAAAGGAATATGCATATCAACATCAAGTGGAATAGGTTCAAAAAGGTAAAGAAACGAAACTTACGTTGCTAGCACCAAACATCATTCTTTCCTATAAGTTCACAATACACGTCCCGATCCAAATTCTGTAAAAATTCCAAAACATCATACAGATGACACAAATCGATCCATAATCAAAAACATTCAAAATGCGCTCTAAACATCTTAAAAATCTGAAAAATATAGTAAAACACTGATATTGGCATTTTCACAAACACTTGGAGTGCATCGTTTGAATAGATATTGATGATTACGTACATTCTCTATCAAATCGAATTTAGGATGTAGTAGGACGATACCACCCAACAGATTTAAAACCACAGACAATCTCGTGTGTTACACATATTATATGATGTTCCTTAGTATATTAGCTTCATCTTCCTTTAAATGGTGCGCCAGAAGGGTGAAGAAAGACACCAACCCATTTACATATCACAGACAAATTAGACAACGAAGACCCTAAATTCCATTTTTATAAGCAAACAATAAGCCCTAAAACAGATAAACAAAGATCTGGTACTAACCCTCAGAAGCTGCTGCAAGTGAAGCAAACATGAAACCGGAGATTACAGAACCTTTTCTCCATTCGTCCGGCGACTGCGACGAAGAACAGGGCCAAAAGAGAAGCCTTGGCAGTTAAAGGAATTACTATCTCCTTTATCTATCGAAGAAATCGGGTCCCTACGACTTTTGAAATGACAATTACGCCATCGAAGAAATCGAGTCCCTCCGCTGCGGACCGGTATCTTCCGCTCAGACCCACCAACTCACCCTCAGTTAGAAAACTCCTGTGTTTCACCAACATCAACCGGCGACTTCAGCTTCCCGTCGGAGCGGGAGTACATCAAGAATCAGAAAGTAGAAATTTATGGAAAGCATGAAAGAGAGAGAGACAAAAAAATGGACCGTATGTGGGAAGGTAGCGTTGGAGACATCGATATCAGGTGAGTAGGTGGTGGAGAAAAGACGATCAGGATGAAACGGTAAGAAGAAGGTGGTGGGTATGTAGAGCAATTGGAACTTTGAGTCGATAACACAGAGATAACACAGAAGATATTGGATAAAGAGGCGGTGGGAAGGATCGGAAGCGGATAAACCCAAACGATGATCAACATGTGTATAAAAGAATGTAAATATTTACATAAAATGCCCAGGTACAAAAACAAAACGGAAACAACACATTCGGGGGCTATTCTTGCCAAAAAGTATACAACTTCACTATTCAAATTGATGCTATTCTTTAATATATATATATATATATATATATATATATATATATATATATATATGAATTACATTAAAAGAATGGCCGATGATGACTATATTCATAATATGAGTTTTAGATTCAATTCAACAAGCCCATTTAATTGGTGACTTAGCCCATTAAAAGCAAAGAAAGGCTTTGTTTCGTGTGTTAATATCATTTGCTGCACTAGGAGATTAAATTAACGTCTTTTCCTCTAATTCGTTTGATTATCTCTGCCTATCCCATCATGACAACTTTTTGTTGGTAATTTGGCTTCTTCTACCACTTGGTCAGTTGGCTCATCATAAAATATGTATTATTTAAAATTTCATCTTTAATGCTTTATGTTTTAGTTTAATTTAGTTATTCAAATAGAAAACTTAATTAGCAAATTAGTTGTTAACTTGTTATGTTGTTGTGATATTAGGTTTAAATCTTTAATTGTGAATTTTCAATTTTAATTTGTGTTCGTAGGATTTAAACGAAATTTTTTAAAGGAACATTAAATGTTGGTAATAGTAATGAAAGTGGTGGAACCACAACTAGAAACTATTCCATCAAGCTTTGATCTTAACAATCTTTCTTTGATTCAACGGATAAACCAAAAATTATATTCTATCATGCAAATCAAAGGGATGAAATAAGGAGAACATATTTGATTAAATGACATTGATTTTTCATCAATAAAAATTTATGATTAGATGTCAACTTTGAAATGTAAGACTTTTGCGATAGTTATTTTCAATGAAATTGTAATTTTTTAAAATAATTTATCTTGTTATCATTTATCGGGGATTTTTTGTGCTACCCCTTATAAAAGTATTTGGTTCCGCCAAGAATATGTGATCGAATTGCAAGCAATATGATGGTGGGAATGAAATACTAAGTCAAGGTTTGCTATGGTAGGATGTTGGGGTGGTGCGTTTTGACTTTTGACCGATTGGTTAGGTCTATTTTTGGTGAAAATAAGAAAGAAATTTATGTTAAATTAAAAGAGAATTTATAGAATGGTTGTATAAAAGATTGAAGATTAAATAACTATTTATCGAACATGCACAAAGAAAGTAAATTTTAATAAAAAATAACAGTTGACAGATGTCTTATTTTGAAATAAAGGAGAAATGGGAACGATTTCTTCACCATGACGAACTCTTCAAATGGTGATGCAGCCTAAAACAGTATGCATGTGGGTGTTGAGAGGGGATAGTGGGTAATTCTACAAGATTCAATTTTTTTTCATTATATATTTTTATTTAAAAATAAAAAGTTATAAAGAGAATGGTTTCCTTAGCCTTTGAAAATATTTAATTTTTCAGGACCGGTCTTGTCAGTATGGTCTTCACCAAGACAAACACTGTTGTACCAACTCAACATCCTGCAGATTGTGGGGTATGTACGGTACGTATTTTAAGTAGTTGGATTGACCTTTTATCATATTTTTATACAAAAACTTATTCAAATACTAATAAGGTTTTAAAAAACTACAACCGAAGATGTTATAAGTGGGGGACATTCTCCAATATAGAAAGCTAGCCGAAGTTATTTTGAAACAAAATAAAGTAATATAAATACTTAAATTGTTATGTTGAAATGAAATGATTTCAATATATTATATTTTGGAAAACAACAAAATATTGATGCCAATGGCATGTGATTGTAATAACTTTTTATGCTACACGATAAAATAAGCGTCTTTATATTTGTTATCTTCTCTAGGAATCTTTTCACATGATGTATCCGTTCTTGTCTAAGCTTAATCTGTCATTATTAGATCCACAAAACATCGACTAGTTTTGACCAATTCCTCTCAAGAAACTCACTAGATTAATTATGTGCACAGATTAAATTGGACCAGTCTTTTTCCCTCCTATGGATAAATTTAACATGCATATTTTCTATGTTGATAAGTAAAACCAAGAAAGTGATATTTTATTGATAACATATCAAATTTGCACATGCTTACCCAATATCAGACACAAATAAAGGTTGAACGCATTGAAAGATCCACATTACAACTCTTTTAACAAAAACTCTCCAATTCTTCGCTAAAGATGGACAAAAACGTATCCAGTTGTTTAGCAGGAAGAGACACTCCGATTTCAATATCAGCATGTGACTCTTTGGAAGCATTAACAGAAATCGAACTATTGTAATCTATTGATATGGTCTCATGCTTTTTAGGCTTCCCCCATCCAAAATCCACATCGTAAATCTTGGTCCTTGGTGTCCCTGACACACTAAGCCCCGGAATTGGCAAAAAGGCTGTCTTGATAACCGTTTCCCCATCTACAATCACTCCATTCTTCTTCTTTAGTGTTTCACTTAAAACCTTTCCAAATAATTCAGCAGCAGTAAGAAATCCATTGTCGCCTGCTAAGATTGTGCTTTTTATAGTTGGTGTGATAGACGCCCCTACACAATTACCAAAATAAGTTGGAGGAACTGGTGGATCGAGGCGCGACCTCCAATCCACAGCACAAACAAACCTTTCTAGATCATCGTCTCCATTCCTTTCTCCAATAAGAACATGTGATTTGGCCATGCAACGCCACATGTAAGCACATGCCACCGAAAAAGATGATACGTATTCCAGTGTTGGCAGTTGAGTGGATACCCATTTCTTAAGCCGATTGATGTGTTCTTGGGTCAATACAATGGTGGCTCTAGCTTTATCTGTAGGGCTAACAAGGTGAGGAGGCTGGTATTCCATAGTAATAGCTGGAATCCCCGGTATATTTAAGCAGAGTTCATCTAAGGAGCTCGGGTATTTAATCACTCTTTCGTAAAACGGTAAAGATTTATTGGCTAAGAAGAACTCATCTGTACCATGTTTAGCAATCGAGCTCCACGCCTTGAGGAAATTATACCTTGTGCTCGCATCACAAAGGGAGTGGTGGTTGGTGAGCCCAATAGAGATGCCGGAGTTAGGAAAAAGTGTAACTTGGACAGAAAAAAGAGGGACAGAAAGATAGTCGGATACTTTTGTGGCACGTCCTAATAGAGGTACAAGTGGATAAAACATGTCGCAGTTACGAGGATGATAGCCTGTAAGATCGTTGAAATCAAGATCACACTCCACAAAGGTAACCGAAACAGAGTCACCCTCTACATGACGGATTTCGGGTTTTCTTTCCGAATTTGGTTCAGGAAACAAAATTAAGTTGCCTGCAAATGGAAAGAAGTGTTGAAGAGTGATTGATAATGAGTGTTTAAGGTTTGGAACCACTTTTTCCAAGAAATCCTCTCTAGAGTGAGGGAACTCATAAAAGAAAACCTGGTGGATAGGGAAGAAGGGTATCCATAACATGTCGAAGAACGTAAGCGGCAGGGTCCTTTCCCCGACGGTGGCAGGTGGCGGAGACACTCGACTGTTCTCCAGGATGGTCAGCATATCGGTTGTGGTGTTTGTTTAATTGGGTGTGGTTTGGTTTGGTTTATGTCAAAGTTTGCAGCTGGTGGACTTGTATTACCAATATCATAGATGGTAGGGAAACGTCATGACTGACGATAGCACCCTTAAATATTAATAAATTTGCGTTCTTCGTCTGGAAACTATGGCTGTCTTTGAAAATTTATTCCAATAGGACAAACGTCGGACCGTTTAAATACTTTTTTTATCGTCCAATAATTAACAAATATGAATAAGTTATTTGGATTTTTTTATTAAAAGATACTATATTATATATAAATTTTGGAACGTGTAAAAACTAAAACTAGAAGATATAAGTAGGCAGTACTCCATATAAACAACACAGTGTCAATTTAAATAATCAATAGTTCAAGATGATCCGGTGGCACTACAAAAATTAGACTTTGAGGGCAACGACACCTATGCCTACAACAAATATTGTCGACGATAAGTTGTCGGCATAAGGTTGATCAAATTTTTTGGACCTAAAGATTTATGCCGCCGACACATCGTAGTCGTAGCTTCGGTGGGATGAAAAACAATTATACAGTTTTCTCAAAGCATATGACAACGACCTATAGTGGTGGGCTACCGTCTGTGTAGTGGGTGCATAGCATCCTTGAGAAAATGTATTGATATGACAACCCTTCCCCTTTCTGATACGAAGTGGATGTGGAACTCGTTAGTCCCAGAAAAAGTAAATATTCTCGCTTGGAGAATCATTCATGGTAGGCTTCCAACATTGGTTAATCTAGCAAAATTTGGCATCTCAACATCCACCGCATGCAAGATTTGTTATGAAAGTCTAGAAACCGAGAACCATCTTTTTGTTGAATGTGTGATAGTAAAAGAAGTATGGCAGAGAGTATCTAGTTGGTGGCGGTTGCTGGACTCCAATTTTCAATCGATTGGAGACCTTCTCAACTGTAAGAAATTGCTAATGGGCCACCAAAGGCTGTCGGATATCAATGAGGCAGTTATGCTAGTGTTCTTATAGGTAATATGGAACTATCGGAACTTGAAGGCACACTCCTCAGGCGTAAAATCGCATTCGTGCTGGCTTACGAGGTACAATCCATGGCCTTATTCTGGATTAATGCGAGGAAGCGAAAGGGGGATCCCCTCGGATGGGTCGAATGATGTTGTGATCCTATTCTAGAATGCTACTCTAGAATGCTACTCTAGACTGTAGTCAAAAACCTGTTGGTGTGCACAACTTCACCAAGAAAACAAGCCGGGGACAACGACTCAAGTCGTCGTAATACGCTTCCAATTGCTTGCAAACTGCTTACAGTCGCCAGAAACTGCTTGCAAATGTCTAAAACTGTAGGAAAAAGCTTTAGTCGTTGGTAACCACCGAAAATGACGCAAAATTGTTAGGAAAATGCTCCCACTAGCACACCCCACTATGGATCCGCCAATAACGATATGTCGTCGGTATAGGTTGTGAAAATTATAATTTCTATTATAACAAATCACTGAAATCGTCTCTATGGTTGTGAAAAATTGTGCATTTTGTCCCTAAGTTTTTATTTACTCGGTCCTTCCTTAAGTTATGATTTTGTAACGTCTGTCGTCCCTATCTCCCTATCAGACATAAAAGGACGATACTACAACTTTTTTTTTTTTTCATTTATTTATTATTGTTTCTTTATAATTTATTTTTATTATTCAATTATTATTTATATTTTACAAATACGAGATGGAACCCCATATTCTTGCCTCATACATCTCTCATTTTCGATAACCATTTCCGACAAACTTTGCTCGTCGGACGTCATCTCTGACTACCTCATCTCATCGATAACCACACTTATTTCTCATTCTCACTTACCGGAGATGAAAATGAACAACTGAAATCATACAAAAATCTCTAGGGAACACAAAAAAATACCAACCCTCGCACATCCCATTCATAACCAAAACCTACAACTCTTTGGAACTAATATGACTCCATTTTTCAAATCTAATTTCAATCTCGAATTCAGAAAGAGAATCCAGATACGAATAAAAGAAATCGATTTCATAAAGAGGATCTAGAGATGTGAAGTTGTAAACAAAGGGGAGGGGTGGTGGCGTAGTGTTAGCTCTGGTCGATGGCGACATAACTGGGTGAGAGATAGAAAAAGGTTCATGATAACGATGATGGTGTTAGCACTGACGAGTCTAACTTACGAATGTTTGCTTAAATCTAATAAAAAATAACACAAACACTAAATCTGAGTTTAGATCTAGGTCTGATGGCATATTGTTTGCTCCGGTGGCAACGACATAAATATGTTAGGTCACCAGCTAATATGGGTCTCCGATGGTGCAAGGGTTTTTGATTTCGATCACCGGTGGATCCCTAAGCCACTGAAGAGCTACATCTAGAAACGATGAGATGCAGCTACACATGGAAAGAATGAGATGGATTTTGTGTTATGCAAATAACTTTAGAGAAGAGAGAGGAAGAGGTAAAGTTTAGGAGGGGTCGGTCGATTGTACCGATGAAAGGGTAGGGGTAAAAGGGCCATTTTATCTTATTCTAGCTGTTCATCTTCATCTCCGGCAAGTGAGGGTGGTTACCGGCGAGAACAGGTGGTCAGAGATGGTGTCCGACAAATGGAGCATGTCGGAAATAGTTGCCGACAATGAGAGAAGTACAGACAAGAATATGGAGTTCCATCTTGTATTTGTAAAATATAAATAATAACTGAATAATAAAAATAAAGTTAAAACAAATAAAAATAAATAAATGAAAAAATAGCATATGGCATTATAGTCTTTTTTATGTCCGACAGGGATGAAAGACGTAACAAAATCATAACCTAATGACTGTTCGAGTGCAACAACAAAAAAAAAAAACATAAGGACCAAACGTGGAATTGCTCACAAACCACAGGAAGGATTTAGTAATTTGTTGTTTCTATTTTTTTATATACCGTGTTGCATAAAAAGGAAACATCGTTTTTGGGAAAGCTATACCGACGACAACTGGTGGACATAACATTGTGGCAATCCGCGTGAAATGTATCCCGACGACAAGTTGTCGGCAAATATAATTGCTTATAATTTTTTTTTTATTTTCGATAAAGAGCACATGACATCGTTTTCATTAACCCTATATCGATGGCTTGTCATTGACATAGGGAGTGATTGTCTTTGGTACGTTAAACCCCTCGTCATTCACAGTCACACACACGAAGAACCATCCCAAAATCTCTGAGCCAGCAACTGCATTTCCGACACGATTTCACCGTCTTTCACCGATAGAAAACTTCACACTACTAGAAAACAACATTTTTATGACACGCGAACAATGACACACACTATGTAACGACGTAAATTTGCAAAGCAAAATTTTCAATTTAAAAACACATTTATCACAGTAATAAAATCTCAAAATGTCACAATGTCAAATTGTAACGACCTGTCTCTGGTATGTTGTTTTCATGTTATTTTTTTTAGAAGTTTCAAGAGGGACTCGGTGAGTCTATAGCCCGACTCGTCGAATAGAGACGGGATTTTGAGCAGCGTATAGATCGGCGACTCGACGAGTCCATATTCGGGACACGACGAGTCCGCCTGCCAGGAAGAAACCCTAAATCCTCGGGTTTGCACCCTCTTTAAACCATCTTATGAGTCCCAAACTCGTCTCCTTCACCCTCAGAGCATCATTTAGCAAACCCTAACCATTCCTTGAGCATTTGAGAATTTCTTGCGTGAATCTTGAAGTTTTGAAGAGAAGAAGGAGGCTAGATCCAAAGGAGTAGAAGAAGATCCAAGATCTTGCACCCACTACAGAGTTTATTGAGGTAATAATCGGATTTCTTCTGTTTCTATGATTGATTCTCCATTATAAGCACATTTAGTCCATTTTATCCATTTCTTAGCTTGTTTATAGTAGAGAGATCACATTGGGTTGATTAGCCTTCGGATCTAGCCATGTTTCCGTTCCAAAATGTAGATCTAACACTTTATGGAGCCATTTTGCATGATAGCCCTAGATCTACTCTTTTAAGTGTGTTTTCAGCCTTTAAATCCCTTTTCATGCATATGTACACGTAAAGTTGGAAACTTTACGTGGTAAACAAGCCTTAGGAACCCAGATCTATAAATTGTATGTAGTGGTTTTGAGCAGAATTGAGTTTTTAGTAACTGCATGCATGCGACTCGGCGAGTCGTTCTTCGGACTCGGCGAGTCGATCCGCGAGTCCCCGATCTTTCCCCTTTGAGTGATTCCAAGTGCGGACCAGTGAGTAGTAGAATGGACTCAGTGAGCCTGAGGTTAGACTCAGTAATGGAGGGACTCGACGAGTTGTTCATACAACTCGGCGAGTCTAAGACAATCTTCATAAATTCAAGAACAACTCGTCGAGTTGTTCATACAACTCGGCGAGTCGGATGCAGATAGCCTAAGTTTTAGAATTGAGAGGGAACTCGTCGAGTTGATGCCATACTCGACGAGTAGCAGCGAACAGGGTTGAGAAGTGATTGTAGGGACTCGGCGAGTTGGCGGCCCAACTCGGCGAGTCAGGTCAACTGTAAGTTGACTTTGACCGAGAGAGTTGACTTTAGCCAGGGGTAAAAGAGTCATTTTACCCCAATGCACTTATTAGTATTTGATTGAGTGTATTTGTGGAATTGTAGCGAGGGAGATACCGGAGAAGCAGCAGATAGCTTCCAGAGTCATTCACTCAGCAACCAGATCACGAGGTGAGTTTCCTTCCAGTAGGAATGGGTCTAAGGCCACAATGCCGACCCGTTTAGCTAGTAGTAGTTTCTGGACTTCGATCCGATGCAGATTTTAGTATGTTTGATGCCTTCGTGGCGCAGACAGGATTTATATGTTATGTGTTCCGGGCTACAGCCCGATGCAGTATGCAGTTTATGTGTTCATGCTAGTTGATATGTTTATGCTATGCTATGTTCAGCAGTTCCAAACTTCTGTCCGATGCAGTCAGTTCCGGACTTCGGTCCGATGCAGTTAGTTCCGGACTTCTATCCGATGCAGTCAGTTCCGGACTTCGGTCCGATGCAGTTAGTTCCGGATTTCGGTCCGATGCAGAAGGCAAGGCCTCAGTAGTT